AGGGATGGATGGATGGAAAGAAGGAAGGAAGGACAAGAGGAGATAGATGGGAGGGATGGAGGATAGAAGAAAAAGAGGGGTAGATGGATGGAAGGAAGGAAAGAGGGAAGGATAGAAGGAAGGAAGGAACTAGATGGGAGGGATGGAGGGAAGGAGAAAAAGAGAGGAAGGAAAGGAAGGAAGTCTTCTCTTTTTTTGGTCCAAAGCAAGCGACAGAAGTAGTGGCAATAAGAAAATGTATTCAAATTAAGTCAATCAGTTAAAAGGGAGATGATTAATCAACCAGGAATTCTTCCACTGGCCCTCATTTTTATGCATTAAGGTATTTTGCACCGGCGCATGAGCCTTGATACGAACTGAAAACTCCCTTTTCATCTTTCCCCCCACCGTTTTTTTTTTGAAACCACCCAAACTTCCAGTTATGTATTTCAGAATGACAGAATAATAGTAATATTCTGTCGTTATTATTATCCGTGCATTATCAGTAATAACAGAATAGCAATATCAGAGTTGGAAGGGACCTTAAGAGGCCTTCTAGTCCAACCTCCCCTGTTCAAGCAGGAGACACTACACAATTTCAAACAAATGGTTGTTGTTAAGATAATTTAAATGTATCGGTGGAGTTGTACAATCTGCCAGAACGCACAATTGTAGCTGATTGATGGGAGAGAGCTGAGGCAACCTGCGCTGTGATAGGTCGCTGTGGGCAAAAGGGGGCATGTCCTTCTTTCCCGCCTTTTTCTTCTGTGCATTCAGTGATTTACCTCATGAGGATGTTCCTGGGTGGATTTTACCTCATGATGCTCCTATCTTGACTGATATAAATATAGATGTTAAATATATTTATTTATATACAACTGCAAGTTCGGATCAGCGTCCATGCAGCTGCTGCACAATTCCCTGACAGTTGTTCAGTCTCTTCTTTAAAAAAAAAAAAAACTCCAGGGACGGAGCAGTCACAACTTCTGGTGGCAAGCTGTTCCGCTGGCTAATTGTTTTTTCACTGTCAGAAACTCCTCTAGGTTGCTTCTCTCCTCGGTTAGTTCCCATCCATTGCTTCTTGTCCTGCCTTTGGGTATTTTGGAGAACACCTCTCTTCTTTGGGGAAGCCCCTCAAATATTGGAAGACTCCTATCGTATCACCCCAATAGTCCTTCTTTTTGAACGTTTACAAAATACAGAATGACAGAGTTGGAAGAGACCTTGGAGGTCATCTAGTCCAACCCTCAGGTCAAGCAGAAGACCCTATTTCATTCCAGATTGTCCATTTCCTTTTAAAAGCATCCAGTGATGGATCACCCACAACTTCTGGTGGCAAGGAGTTCCACTGTTTAATTGTTCTAACTGTGAGGAAATTTCTCCTTAGTTCCAGGTTGCTTCTCTCCTTGTTTAGTTTCCATCCATTGCTTCTTTTCCTGCCTTCAGGTGCTTTGGAGAATAATTTGACTCCCTCTTCTTTGGGGCAGCCCCTCAAATTTTGGAAGATGCTACCATGTCCCCCCCGATAATCTTTCTTTTCATTAAACCAGAATTAAACCCACTTCCTGCAACCATTCTTCGTATGTTTTAGCCTCCACGCTCCTAATCATCTTTTTGCTCTTCTCTGCACTCTTGCTAAACATCTTCTTTATATCATGGCAACCACGATATATGGCAAACCAAAACTGATTGCAATACAGGTAGTCCTCGACTTACAACCGTTCATTTAGTGACTGTTCAAAGTCACTGAACAAAGTGACATAGGACCGCTTTTCACCCTTACGACCATTGCAGCATTCCCTCCCCCCCATAGTCACATGATCAAAATTCAGATGTTTGGCAAGCGACTCATATTTACGACGGTCACAGTGTCCCTGG